AAGTGTCTATGCTTTTTTAAATATGAATGCTGGCCAGGCAACCTCTCTTTTCTCTCTCAATATAAATTATTAAGATATATAAATTATTTATTCCGACAGATGGCGTAAGCTATCAGCAACCTTTGGTGCAACAATCAGGAGATGCCTTAATTAATTCACCTGATCCCAATACAATTTCTTGGTTGTACTGTTTCTGAAAAACTCCAAGGTTTTATGATTTACTGTTTAAAAAAGGAAATACCAAAGATGTTTAAATAAGGAATGTTTAGAGAATATTTCTGGCAATTCTTCTGTACTTTGTCTTATTGTTTTTCTCTCTGCTCGAAATAAATAGAAATAGGAATAATTAATTTCAATAAATGTAAATATACATATTTACACTAATTAATTCTACTTGTTGGAGGTTGGATCTTAACAATGTTAGTTCGGACTTCCGTCTAGCTCCTTTTGTCTGGTCTTAGATGTTGAGGATATCTGTCAGACACCAGACCTGACTACTGGGACTTCTCTAGGTGCATTGTAGCAGCAAGCTGTTTAAATGACCAAACAGCCTCACTGGTTTTATCTGACTGACTTCACTTTATTATCACTTTCACTTCTTATATACATATATATTTACACTAGACGTATGACCCGGCTTCGCCCGAGAATTCCCCCGATTGCAATTTCCTTCATACTGAAATACTACATGTACTGAAAGAAATTCAATAATAAATATTAGAAGTGCCATAGAATAGCAATACAGAAGTAACACATAAACTACAGGAAAAAAGTGTGTGTGATGGCAAAAATTGTATTATATTAGTGTTTAGGTATTTGATTTAATTAATATAGTTGATATAATAATATATATTTATATTATACTAGCGGATGTGTACCCGGCTTCGCCCGGGTTTTATCCGAGTGAAAGTTTGCCTAACGAATATTATATATTATGAAGTATAATAAACAATGTTAAAGATTAGTTTTAATTATTAATCAAGATTGTGTGCGAATATGTGAGAAAGATGTAATATCGTTGTTGTTTTCTTGGCCGACTGTTTTACATATGGTGTTATCTTAAAATTGCTTGTTTTGAATATTTTTTTAGATTGAGTTGAATGAATTGCTGATTTTTTTTTGTATTTATATATAAATAAAATTAACTCTGTTGATTTTTTTGTATTTAATCGATAACAGCGAAGTTACGCATGTTAAAGTTAGGAAAAATATTTTGATGTTAGGCAAAACCTGCTCCATCTCGTTTTACATAAATGTTGAAAATTTGGTCGAAATTGATGCATTGTAACGAAAGTTTTTAGTGAACAACACTTATGAAATTTGCATTTTATTAATATAGATATAATATAAATGAGCAGCAAACATAAATAAATTCCGAGGATAAGTTTCTTTTATTTCAAAAATATTAGTACTTCGAGCTTTCGGGCGTAAATAGCCCTTCTTCAAGAATATAATTTATTTATGTTTGCTGCTTATTATACACCAGAGGATTCCACCTTATGATAATATAAATGAGTTTTAAAAATTGTAAAAAAAAAATGCATCGGCCGGGAATCGAACCCGGGCCGCCCGCGTGGCAGGCAAGCATTCTACCACTGAACCATCGATGCTTATAAAAAAAATGGCCATATTCGGGTATTCATTCCATTCCGGATTACTCCGCGTAAAAAAAAGTTCTTCAAATGAAAAAAAGAAATAGCCAAAAATACTAATCAAAATGTAGCCGAAAAATTTCCTCAGGTTTATAAAAAGCGACATGCAAAATTTGGTACCAATTGGTTCAGTAGTTTTTGAGTTTATCGCGAAGCAGACAGACATTGACTTTTATATATATAGAGATAAATTATAGAAGAAATAAAAATGTACATAATTATAGAACACAATGCAACCTGGCATGTTATTTGCATAGCTAGGCGCAAACATTACTATTCAAATAACTCATTCTAGAATCTACAATCTCCAAAGACAACATAAACAGAAGATCTACCCAAACAGTTCCAGCATATTCAACACAGACAGTCCTACCCCCATTGAAACTGTACCCTCTACAACTGGAAACTATTTTTATATTTGATTTTTTGAAAATGTATTTCTGTGAATCTCTATTGTATGTGTGTTGTACGGAGCCAGTGGCCTGATGAAGCGCGAAAGCTTGACTCCCAATTTCTGAATAAAATAAACTGCAAATATTTTTACATTTAATTAATTCAACTATTTATTTACTAGACTCAATAGAGTTTTTATAAAAATACAAATCTATTAAAAGGAGATTTTGAACATAAAATTTCAGAATAACCTGAACCTTCGAATATTTTTATATGAAAATATTTATTAAGATGCATTAGCGCGCCATCTGTTATCAAAATTATAAACTATTATAGACATGTATGATTCTTTTTGAAAATAAACAATTTCTTTCTGGCGAAACCGCTGGGAGGGTTCATCACTGATGAGCCAGGTCCTCCCATTAATTTTTCCATTACATTAAGGACAGTAGAATTGTTTTATTTTTATAAAGAATCATACGCATCTATAATAGTTTCGAATTTTGAAAATATTTATAATTTATGAAATATGGCACATATATAGAATGTGCTATAATGAGCAAACATTTGAAGTAAAATGTCCTTGCAGCTAGGGGTGGACATATTTCCCGGGGTCTGAACGACCAGTTACTAGCCCCCAGATTGGTGAAGGTTTGTCGCTGGGTCGGTCACTTTATGTTTATGGCGTCTGTTCACCAATCTCTGGCGGTCAGAACCTTTCTTTGGACGGATTCAGGAAACATCAGAACACCCAACGTTTTATTATTCCTACTGTTATCAGAATATATTTATTGATTTCAAAATTCTAATAGATTATTACTTAATTCGAAATTATTTTAAAGGCGTAAGGTTCTTTTTGAAAATAAACAATTTCTACTGCCCTTACTGCAATGGAAAAATTAATGGGAGGGCTTGGCTCATCAGTGGTGAACCCTCCCAGCGGTTTCACCAGTTTAATCTTGATTTTGATAACAGATGACGCTAGTGCATCATATTATTACTTACTTGAGGATTTTTTAATTAAGGATACATATATTGGATCAAAATATAATTTATTTACCAATATTTCAGTTGGTTGAACGCCAACCTTTTTCAAAGTATTTTATAACATATTTAAATACTTAACAACATAAAAATATGTTGTTATACCTTGAAAAAGGTTGGCATTCAGCCAACTGAAATATTGGTAAATAAATTATTTGTCTATCCAATATATGTCTTTTTAATGTGAATGCATTATCGCGCCATCTATTATGATAAATTTGAACTATTTCAGACACGTATGATTCTTTTAAATAAATCAAATTTCTACTGCCCTTATTGCAATGATAGAATAAAGCCAGGTCATCCCATTGTTTTTACCATTGCAGTCTTTCGACCTTCCAGGAAAAGTCTTTCAGTTTTGTTTTGTGTTCCCTTATTTTATAAATATTGATTTGATTTTGAATTAAATAAATTTATATGTCATTCTAGGGTTGTATTTTATAATACACTCTAGCCGAATGACCCGGGCAACACCCGGGTTTTACCCGATTAAATGTTTTTATTCAAATACTATTCGTTACAATTATAAATTGGCGCCGTGGAAGTCACTCTTGTGTCCCGCTCCAAACTTTACATGTACATTAGGTCAGCTGGTATTACCTCCCATCTTCACCGCAAGAGGCGCTGCTTGCGTTGTAAATAACTCGAAGAATATTCGGGATAGAGACCTGAAATTTTCACTATAAGTTTTTCAATAGTTAACTCTATATACTGTTAAAATTTCAGTCAGATTAGTTACGTATTGTGGACGTGTATAGCCGACATAGGAACAAACACACATACATACACTGACTTTTATATATATAGGGATTTGCAGAATAGTATTAAAAAATCGCTCGAACTGTTCCAAACTGAGTTACAGTGAGATATACCAGAGACCTTGGTGACTAGGGCCTCCCACATGAGAGGTTCTACGGTATCCCAGAATATAAAAGTCAGTGTATGTATGTATGTATGTGGGTATCTATGTCGTCTATACACGTCCAGAATACGTAACTAATCTGACTGAAATGTCAACAGTATATAGAGTAGAATCTGGAAAAACTTATAGTGAAAATATCAGGTCTCTATCCCGAATATTCTTCGAGTTATTTGCAAATTGCGTTGCAAATTTGCCTTTTCGCTCGCAAGCAGCGCCTCTAACGGTGAAAATGGGAGTTAATATCAGCTGACCTAATGTACATGTAAAACGTGGAGAAAAATCTGGAAAAGATATTTATCGGATTTTTAGCCAATAAAAAATAAAATTGACAGGTTCTGGGCAAAAATAGTTGTTTTCTAGTCAGAAAATGATGATGACAATATTTCTGTATTATGTTTGATTATCAGATACAAAATTATATCGGGAAAAAATTCCAAAAAGCAGAGACCGCGGGTGAAACCAGTTAATTTTTTTGTACGCAGGAACAAAATTCTAACAGAAAAACATTCATTCGAGCAGAAAACAAAATCCAGATCATCTTTCTATAAAAATATCGCTTTCAGACACAAAGTTAATTGTAACGAATAGTATTTGAAAATCAAAATAATATAATTTTCAAATATCGTTGTGAAAATTTACATTTTTATTTTTATATTTTAAAAATACACAAAGTTTGGAGCGGGACGTTTCACAGAAGTGACATCCACGGTGCCAATTTATAATTTATAAATGAATAATCGATTAGTATTTGAATAAAAAAAATTAATCGGGTAAAAAAAAATCGGCTAGTAAATAAATATTTGACAGCTCTAGACGACGCTAGATAGATTAGAAAAACATTTATAAAACGACATTTGAAAATTATCCCGCGTGTGTTTCTTTTCAACGAAAAATTAAAATTTAGGAGAAATAACGATTATTTCTAACCTTTGGGATGAGGTATGAAAGGGTGAATTGTGAAGAGTAATGATAAACGGAAAAATAAAAGTGTCCAGGGATGGGAATCGAACCCACAGTGTTCCGCTTACCGGGCAGATGTCATGTCCACTAGGCTACCCTGGACATATTTTTCCGTTCGTAAATAATACATAACAATCACAAGCGGCATTATATTATATTGTATTATAAAAAAACGTTTATATAATCTATTAGATATTGTTTATAAAGATTTCATTTATTCTTATAAAATAATAATTATTAATAAACATTTTGTGAGGCTAGGCGTAATTCTTAAAGCAATTTTTCAAGAATTTTTCTATGGTCAAAAACGAAAATAAAAAAAGGACAATAATCAATCATAGAACCTTTCAGCTTACGATTATTCTGTGGTGAGAAGTGGTGCCAGACTAAAAGAATCTCAAGAATTTCCGATATAAATCAGGTCGTGCGGAGAACGCCAAGGCCAATCGATGGAGAACCCCTGTGTGTGTTTATATATATACTGGCCGAATGACCCGAGCAACGCCCGGGTTTTACCCGATTAAATGTTTTTATTTAAATAATATTCGTTACAATTATAAATTAGCGCCGTGGATGTCACAAATATAAATTTTCACAGTGATATTTTAAAATTGTTTCATTTTGATTTTTTCATATATATTATATTTTAAATTTGATATATACATAAAATGATGGGAAGTAATTTCTTGCCCCTAAACCATCATTACGTCACTCAAGGTCACTCTTGTGAAACGTCGTGCTCCACCAATCCCCGTTGCACCACGTGGTCCATCCTTCCTCAACTTTACTTCTCGAAGTTACCGCAGTGAGGCGCTGGTTGCGAATGAAATATGGAAAATTTGTTGATAATTTGTTAATAACTTCAAAGATATTCGAGGTGGAAGTCTGGAAATTTGCTTATAAGTTTTTCCAGATTCAACTCTGTATACTGCTAAAATTTCAGTCAGATTAGTGACGTATTGTTGACGTGTATAGCCGACAAACATACATACACTGACTTGTATACAAATATTGTTGTATATTGTTGCGGCTTGGCAGACTCTTCAACCTTGATTCTCTCCTGTGTCGGGTCTTACCAGAGCGCGTTTCAACCATCCTACAAATTTATATAAGGGAATAATGAGATAACTTTAAGTAGCCTCCAGAATTTATTTCTCACATCAAAGAGAGCAGTGAAGTCACACAGTGTGCCTAAATACAAATGATCATTCTATAATACATAAATCTGTTTATAATAAATATATTTTTTGCTCAATAAAATAAATAAATATAAAATATAAATTAGAATTTAAAATATATCAAAAAGAATAATACAAATTAAAATAAAATAGGTGCATTAGCCATGATGCAACAATATATAGGGATAGAGAACTGCAAGTCTGTGGTAGAGACTACAGTATACACTGCCATCTGTTGGAAACATTTTAACTATTCGTTAACTATTTATTTATTAATACAAAGCAATAACGCGCCATCTATACATAACGAATGAAAACATGAAGACGTGAATTTTTCTTTTTTTCACAAATAAATCAAAATTCTAAGATTCCACCCTTCAGTGTAGCATATCAAATCAGAATGATCCAATACAGTATTAGAGCTCCAAAAAAGCGGTCTGGAAGATTAATTTGGTGAAATCGCTGGGAGGCTTCACCACTGATGAGCCAAGCCCTCCCAATATTTTTTCATCTCAGTAAGGACAGTTGAATTTTGATTTATTTGTGAAAATAAACATTCGTGTCTTAATGTCTTCATTCCTTATATATATTTATTTTCAAATTATTAGAATTTTGTCAACGGTAGTGATGACCTTTAGCTAAGATAAACAACATGTTTATTATAAATAAGATAACACTGGTTTATATATACAGATAAGATCAGAATTAACAGTAACATAAAGGTAACCCAGAGTCCTGGAACGTATCCATAGATTGCCAACTACCCGGGTGTTATTTACAACAATACTAATATTCTACAAGGTACATGAAACAGCAATGGGGCCAATTCAATTCACTGGCAGATTAATTAATTTAATCAGTGATAATTTATTATTTAATTAAATAATTCACCGACAATATATTTTCTATAGAATTTCAATATATGTGAAATTATTTATAAAGGTTTACAAATCTCTCTTCCCCTCTGATTTGTTATTTTCTTTTTTCTTTTGTAAATGAAAATATATATAAACTTGTGTTGATATAAAACCTTTTAAATAATTTCAAATTCTATATAAAAATTATCTATAATTGGGTATTAAAAACTCATGTTACATATTCTATTTATAGAAAATGGAAACATTATAAAGCACACATTTTCTTTTAAACATAAAACAAACTTCTACTGTCCTTACTGCGATGAAAAAATATTGGAAGAGCTTGGTTTATCAGTGGTGAACTCTCCCAGCGGTATCGCCAATTTAATCTACCAGACCGCTTTTTAAGAGCGGTATATTAAACTGGCGAAACCGCGGAAAGGGTTTATCACTGATAAGCCAGGCCCTCCCATTAATATTCCCATTACAGTAAGGGCAGTAGAGAAAATTGTTTTATTTTTAAAAAGAATCATACGTGTCTATAATAGTTGAATTTTCATAATCATATATAATGATATACTGTAAGATGCTGAGTTTGTTTATACAAAATATAATTGCTTGACATGGAACGGGTAAAGTGACAATCTAAGTTTAAGACATTACATTATAGGTAGTTAGGAACAAGTTATGAATGGACGCCGTTTGTTGTAAACTGTATCCCGGGAGTGAAAACAAGAGGATTGACATCGATCGACATCAATAATTGATGACAGGAAGATGCCATGAATGTTTGATGCCTCAAGAACTCAATATTTCATTGGCCGACACTTCCCGATTGTAATTCAGTTTAAGGGCGGTGCGAACTCCACCAGGAATTCCGGCATGATCCCAGTGGACTGTCTCTGCGTCTTTGTTCTCTTCCTCACTGATGTCTGACGAAGCTGTGGAAGTTGGGAATACAAGGTTGTCACAGAAGTTTGTAGACATATTATGATTATGAAAATTCGAAACTATTATAGACACGTATGATTATTTTTAAAAATAAACAATTTATACTGTCCTTACTGTAATGGAAAAATTAATAGAGGGCCTGGATAATCAGTGGTGAACCCTCCCAGCGGTTTCGCCAGTTTAATCTACCATACCGCTTTTATATTGCATTTTTCGATCTTCCTTTAATAGTGATACTTAAACTGCCGAAACCGTTAGGAGGGTTCATCACTGATAATCCAGACCCTCCCATTAATTTTTTCATTGCAGTAAGGACAGTTGAAATTGTTTAATCTTTAAAAGAATCGTCTATAATAGTTTCGAATTTTCATAACAGATGGCGCGCTAATGTATCATAATATAATTAGGTGTGTAGACAGAGGGGGTGTTGAAAATTCTTATCGTTTTAAAGGAGATTAGTTTTCATACTTATCAAGCAACATCCAGTTTTGACAAATTCCCAATGGCCAGTAGAAGTCCAGTGTTTCGGACAATGGCCATCTTGCGTCCCGAGCAGCTTCTACCTAAGACTCCACTTGAGGTAGTCTACAGAACTGTAGGTTTGCTGAGGAAACACCGGTAGCAATCCCAGGTACACAAATATGGAGCAAATTTCTCGAGATAAAGAAAATTATTTTTGCCAAATCTATTTTAAAAGTCCATTTTAGAAAAGTCCTTGACAGGTCCGCAAGAAGGGACTTTGTTATCTGGACTGTCTAATTAAAGTAACTATGCCATTTTTACCCTCCAAGTTAATTAAAACTTACAAAATTGTTTAATTAGCTTTCCTTTTGTGACTTTCTTGGTGAAGATTCGAAGTAAAGTGGCTCCTCCCGAAGTTAAAAAGTTAACGAACCATTAGCGGATTCAGGGGAATTTTACGAGATAGGTACTAGGCATTGGTAAACCTCTTTTCATTTTCAAAATTACACAGAATAAAATTGTCATAATGTTGAGCTTAATTTAAAACCTATAGATATATTGTGAAAAAATAGTACAAATATAATATTGTACTGGGATAAGATGCATAAATTAAGAAAATGGCATCTACTTATCGTGCAACTGAAAGTTGCTGATTGCTTGCACCATCTATCGGAATAAATATCAACTATTCTCGTTGTTTTTTAATTATTCCAGAATCGGCCAAATACCCATTCTTGATTAATCAAGAAAAGCTAACCATGGAAGCGTTTCGGGCTGTTGGCCCTCATCAGCGTGGTGCAAGCTGTACCTCAACGAACAAAAAAACTGGTTATTGAGGCACCCTGAAAAATCATGAAACGGATAGATGGCGCAAGCCATCAGCAACTTTCAGTTGCACGATAAGAAGATGTATTTTTCTTTCTTAATTTATGAACCTTATCCAATATCACATTTGTACTGATATGATACATTAGCGCGCCATCTGTTATCAAAATTTGAAACTATTATAGACGCGTATGATTCTTTTAAATATTGAGTAGAAATTGTTTAAGTTTTAAAAGAATTATACGCGTCTATAATAGTTTCAAATTTTCATATATTTTGTTGCATCAATTTTAATGCGTCCTACATTTATTCAAGGTCATTAAGGCAAGGTCATTAAGGCATCCTGAAAATCATGAAATAGAGCAATCCATAAATATATCTTCAATTAAAAATGCATATATTGGATCAAAATAAAATTTATTTACCAATATTTCATTTGGCTCAACGCCAACCTTTTTCAAGGTGTTACAACATACGAGATTAGGTATGTGTTGTGGACGTGTATAGCCGACAAACATACATACATACATACATTACAATTACATTACAATTACATTACATACATACATACATACATACATACATACATACATACATACATACATACATACATACATACATACATACATACATACATACATACATACATACATACATACATACATACATACATACATTACAATTACATTACAATTACATTACATACATACATACATACACTGACTTTTATATATATAGGGATAAGAAACGCGTATCAACTATTACAAGAAATACGCCGCAGCTCTTTTTATTGAATTGATTAAAGAATGCTTTCGGGGAAGCTCTTCTT